CCAGGGCTGTGCATTAGCAGAAAGCAGAGCTGGGGCTGGGACTTGAACCCAGGCACTCTCATGGGGGTTGCAGGTGCCGCAACAGGCATCTTAAACACTATTCCTGGTGCCTGTCCCGTTTACCTTTAAGGATGTGCAGCTAGAAGATAGATTGCTAATATATCCCTGGGGGTCTTAACAACTACAGGTAAAGATCTCAACGACAGTAGTCATCAAGGTTAAAAAGTAACAACTATTGAGTTTTGTTTTGTTCATAATGACCTCATTTTGGTTGTCAGATGCTTCATTGCATAGCAACATTTATCGTGCTAGGCATATTTCATGTATGTCTAATCTATAGCTCATAAAAGAAGTACACCCTTTTTATGGATTCAGGAAATCAAGACTATAAAGGTTAATTAACTTGTTCACATACACACAGATGGTAAGTGGCTGAGCTAGATTGAACCAAAGTCTAACAGCAAAACTTGAATCCTTTCCATTACAGCCTACCGCTTCTACATAAAAAGTCACTTCCATTATAAAACTACAAGCAGCTTTGGAATGTTTAAGTGCTGGAACCAAACAAAGCTGTGCAAGTTGTCCGTGGTTTCTTAACTCTAGGTTTCTCACACTGAATGGTGTAGTATGTCCCTCCACGTATTGCCTTGTCATATACATTTCTGTTTCTTTGGCTTCACTTTATATGTTTTCTAAATCTGGGTGATTTACTATAGCACTTAGGAAAAATACTTCTAAATAAGAATTAGATAGTGCTTGATGCAAATGCCATATTTGCTACATGAAATTGTGACACTGGTATTCACATGTTGCATAATGATGTTGTCCCTATTGCTAGAAAAATCTTAGGATACAGTGTTGCTTATGTGACCTTAACGTGCAGATGCAGCTGAAAAGGTCATCAGTGGCCTTAACCTACTTTTTTCCAAAGGATACTGCTTACACTTGTTTGTTGTTCGCTACAATGTGCAGTTTATATTTGTTCCAAAATTCCAGCCCTGTCTTCTGATTGGACAGTGAGCTGAGGCTGGTTTAGAGAAGCGAAGAAGGGAAAGTACCTAGACTTGGTGGCTTTCATCAGAAGAGCTGGTGAAAGTATAGTGAGTACTTGAGAGTAACGAGCGGCCTCTGAGTTGAAGCTGTGGAGTAAAGGCCGGCAAGCCAGGGTAATTGATGCTTTCTGGGCGTGGCAAGTAAATAAAACAACCTAAGTTTGTTCTGGCTTTCCCTGAACATGTTCACCATCTGTTCTGTTAAAGTGGTAGTTTGTTTTTAATTGCCAACTACATTCATGTTTTTGCATGTGTTGCATTAATACTTAATATTGTTTCTCTAAGCTTGCTTATGCAAAATACCTAATGAAAGTAATGATTTTCTCCTAAGAATTTTTCTTTTTGCAAATTTATGACAGCATAAAATTTGATTTTACAAGGGTTTGTTAATATAAAAATGAAGTAATGATAGATTGCCTGTCATCTATAAATTGTAGCTAGTAACCCCCTAAATACCTACTGTTCTGTGTTAAATATTATCTTTGTTGCTATATCACTGACAAGATAATGAATAATATTACCATTTTCATTAGAGTTTTAAATTATTCTCACTTGCTTTATCTACAAATTAGTCAAACTATGTTTTACTTAGTTTACTATAAATGAAACTCTTAATACCTTCTTAAACTGGTTAAAAAACATGTATTTCATGATAAAATCTCAGTAGCTTGAAAATTCTTTATATTTGAGAATCAGAAAGACCAAGTTCTACATGGAACATATTTAGATAAATAGGGTCGTGTTTAAAAATAAATATTTTAGCCCTGCTTTTTTTTTTTTAATTTTTATGACTCGATTTCATAGGTTCTCGGATTCCCCCAATCCCCCATCCCCTCCCCCCATGGTGGATTCCTCCACGTTGTTGCTGTGGTACACTTCATATCCAGTCCTGACTCCTTCATTGCGAGCATGTACCATGCATAGAGTTCAGCTTCTTATTGTCCAGATAGTTTCAGCAATTTCCTTGGGAGACCATCCCTGGTCTGAAAGTAGAACTGGCAGAATATCATCCCTTTCAATGAAAAGCCACAACATAATATCAACAACAATTTACAGCATTATGGAGGTAATTGACATGGTATTGAGTGACCAGTACGTTGGAAAATGCAAGTTCTTAACCACATCCTGTGACTACTTCATTGACATTTCAATTTTAGTTTGTACACAACTTTGTCCTACTTTTAAAAATGGCATTTGGGTTGAACAGAAAAGACTGATTTCTCTTTGCCCTTCCCTGCTTTTCAATAGATAAATAATAAGCATTAAAAAAAAATTCTGCTGAAGATTATGAAAGACGACTTGAATAAATGGGAAAACATGTTGTACGTTCCAGGATAAGAAACCTCAGTGCTGTTCCTGGCAGATATTTGTCAGTGTATTGGAAATGACTTTCACAGCTCTGCTACATCTTCTCGCCCTCCTCGGGAGCAAAAATGAAGACTTCTAAAATGGGCTCACTGGGAAATATCTTCTGCTTTAACCAAACATATTGAAGGAAAAGGTGGTGCCACATATATTAGGGTACTTGAAAAAACTGGAAAAATGAATTGAAACATGCTTATTTTAGTGCAAAGAAATTTTCAAATCTGCATTTTCATGAATTCCTTGAAGATGTCCTGTATACATGGATTTATTTTGTGTGTGGGCACAATCCAATGCCCTTATCTTCTAATTCATTCTCCAGGAATATTTTTTTGAAGTACCCTTTTAGGACAGTTAATGATAAAACCTGGATTAATATGTGTTTATTTTACATGATGTACTCTCTGGAAGGAAAAGCAGAATCTCCTCTTGGAGAAAGTGTCATTTTTCTAGGCCTAAAATAAACCATATGAGATCCAAGTTTTTAACATGTAATATTCAGTTCATGAAATGATCAGGTGTACTGACATAGCACCAGCAGTAAGAAGCAGCAGAACCAACAAAAGGTAGATAAGAATCTTGGAGCAATTAAAATGATCAAACATAAAACCACATACATACTAAGTTGGAAAAATTAATGGTAACTTATGTTAGGAAACTAACCAGTGACAAGGCAGAATTAAAAAATGAAATAAAGAGTCTCAGACAGTGCTAGAAGCAAACTGTAATAGATTACAGCCGGCTGAAGTGAATATTAGTGAGGTGGAAGATGTGAAGAACAGGAGGGTGGGGATGTGGAAAGTACCAAACAGAAGAAATGGGTAAGACTTACCAGATGATACAGAGAGAAGATCTGTGTGTCGAAGAGTCCCAGAAAAGGGGTGGGGGAGAGCGGAGCAAGAGAAGAGAAAGAGAAGGAAATCCCCAGACAGACAAGAAAATCCTTGATTTATGGGAAAAGTTTGACCATTCAGTCAGGTAGAATGGTATTTTCAGTAGCTGGTTCTTGGACAATTAAATTGGGTCATTTTCATAAGCAACAGTCAGCTAAATTTAGACAGCAGACCTAAACCTGAAGGGCAAAACAAAGCCTGTAGAGGATAATATAAAATATGGTTTTTTATTTAGCTTTGTTTGAAAAGATTATTTTGATTTTGATTTGATTGGAAGCATCATCCTCGGTTGGTTCACTCCCCAGATGCCTGCAGCAGCTGAGGCTGGATCAGGCTGATCCGGCAGGTGCTGTCTTGCATGCAAGTGGTGAGGACCCAAGCCGCTGCCTCCGGGATACGCAGTTAGCGAGGAACTGATGACGGAGTGGAGACTGGAGTCAAACCCAGGGCTCTGATGCAGGAGGTAGGCAGCCCAAATGCTCCGTCAGATGCCCATCCCTTAAGTAGTGGCTCAATAATGTGGGTAGAAGGAGACTTAACAAGACACAAAATGACTGCATTACAATTAAGAACTTAAGCAGAAGCACTTAAGGGACTCAGAGAAGGGAAAACATGTTTTCAGTACAGCAAAAGACTAAGCTGACACATGTAAGAACAAATCAAAGCTATATAAGCCAGTGAGAAAACGTTCCAGCCTGTGGAAAAGCAAACAAAATATTTAACAGCCAAGGATGAGACCCAGATGAGTGAAGATATTTCATGAGTAACCAGAGAACATATTTATTCTAGTTTTGTTTATAATAATGGCAAAGTTTAAGCAAGCGAAAAATCAGTGGTACAGGTTCAGCTAAAATTAGACCTAATGTTGGAATGGCTTTACAGGCGATTTAGAATAATGTTAATAAGCTGACAATATGCTAAATTCACAGAATATAATTCCATTTTGAAGGGAAAATCCTACAGTAATGTGCATACACATGAATATGTAATTGTAGAAATAAATATTGCATTAAGTCTGGAAATATTTCAGAAGTTCATATTATATGGTGATGGCACTTGAAATCATTTTAATCATGTTCTGTTCTGTTTATAAATGAGACATGGACTGTGTTACTGATAGTTTATAAACTTGAATATGCCAGAATAAGGCACAATATCCATTTTTTCATTATACAAGTCAGTTTTCCATTTTTAATCAGTTTTTTATTTCTTTAAAATTTTTGATGAGGTGAGCCATGCCTTGGTGTTAAAAAAAGTTCCTGCATTTAGGTTTTATATTATGTGCAACAGAAAGAAAAATGTGGAACTGTGTTGGAATTCTAAAGCTATAGTTCAGGGCTTCACACTCTTAAATGGGACCTTTATTTTTTTTCTGTTTTTAAGTTGCAGTTAATGCCTAATCTTTCCCTGATGGGATTTCTGCTTCCCTATTTCCCTCTGTGCTTTTAGGGTGCCTGACTGCTGCTCATTGATTTTCTTTCGTGCTTTGTAGGAATTAAGGGTTTTTGAAGATAAACTGTAAGAATGAAACAGTTCATTGAGCCGACTTATCTGCTTTAGCATACAGTTGGTTTTAAATTAATTATTATTATTTTTATTCTTTTTGGATGAAGAGGTAAAAGTATGAGTCTATATACAAGTTACAATTGGATACTGACATTTACTATAAGACATTGTTTTCAATTTCTTTTAGCAAACAAATGGCATCTTCTTGAGCATGTTTTTAATTGTTCTGCCGTTGGAATCTATGGCCCATGGGCTCTTCCATGAACTGGGCAACTGTTTGGGAGGAACGTCTGTTGGATACGCCATTGTGATTCCCACCAACTTCTGCAGGTACAGTAATGTGAGATGGCTAATAATGACTTCTTGTTGTAAGTTTCTTTTAAGGATTTATGTATTTTTATTGGGAAGTCAGATATACAGAGAGGAAGATCTTGCATCCGCTGACTCACTCCCCAAGTGGCTGCCATGGCTGAAACTGAGCCAATCCCAAGCCAGAAGCCACGAGCCTCTTCCGGATCTCCCACATGGGTGCAGGGTCCCAAGGCTTTGGGCCATCCTCTACTGCTTTCCCAGGTCGCAAATAGGGAGCTGAGGCGAGATTGGCAGCAATTTCAAAACTGGTGACCTATTGAAACCACTTCAGCGAGTATCTCAGAGCATGCCCCACATGCGGGACTTGGGGTGGGTGGGAAACTGGGTGGGGCTTCTCCCTCAATATCCCCCTCTACCTCAGATATATGAGGGAAACAATATGGAAATAATAATAGTCTTACCCACATTCCTGTAGCCCTTGACCCTTTTTACCCAAATTAACTAGGTAAAGATTGTCAAAAAAAAACAAAAAACAAATAGGGAGCTGGATGAGAAGTGACATCAGTGGGATTAGAATTGGTATCCATATGCCAATTCCATCGCGGCACGTTCAAGGTGAGGACTTTAGCCACTAGGTTACCAATGCTGAGCCCAACATTTCTTAGTATTTCCATACATATGAATTAAACAAAATAACTTGGTTTTTTTCAAAGCTGTTTTCAAGATATAGCCTGTTGCATTTCTTTATCCCAAATTTTTAAAAGGCCTTAAAGAGGAATATTTAATATTCAATTTAAGTATTTTGATGTTTGATTACCTTACATGTTAACCAGAAATCAGAATATATATATTACTCCATATGTTTTATATATATGTATACACACACATATAGTTTGGTTACTGCTACAGATTACAAATGTGGAACATATTATTTTAAGCAAAAACTAAGCTATTACTAGGGCAGTATTGATAACACAAGAAGTAAAATTTAAACATTTCAGATCCCTTATAGGAAAATTTTTTTCTGGATAGCTGTGATAACCCTTGCATTATCAGTTGTGTTTTTATAAGGCTTGGTTTAATATTTTTACTGTACTGGTTTTTTTGCATTTGTTTTAAGATTACATCTAAATCTCCAATTAATGTTCTGTATTATATAGGCAGCTGGTCTAATTTTCAGTAATTGTTTTTAAATGCCATTAATAATTTTTCTGTTATTTATATACCCCAAGTCATTAAACTTGAATACAGCTTTATAATTTGTATTTTTAGTGCAAATACTATTTGTGTAATTTTAAAATATTTCATTTTACCAATTAGATTTTTTTCCTTAAGAATAAAATGTTTAGGGCCTTGCACATGCTGGGATACCATATGGGCACTGGGATTAGAACCGGCTGCCCCACTTCCCATCCAGCTCCCTGCTTGTGGCCTGGGAAAGCAGTTGAGGACGGCCCAAAGCCTTGGGACCATGCACCAATGTGGGAGGCCTGGAAGAGCTACTGGCTCCTGGCCTCGGATTGGCTCAGCTCCAGCCATGATGGCCACTTGGGGAGTGAATCATTGGGTGGAAGATCTTCCTCTCTCTCTCTCCTCCTCTCTGTATATCCGCCTTTCCAATAAAAATAAATGTCTTTAAAAAAAATAATAAAATGTTTAAATTCCACCCAGGTGTTTTTGAAATGCTTGCCATAATCTCGTGTTTAAAAAATGTTGTCCTGAGGCCCAGCATGGTAGCCTCGTGGCTAAAGTCCTCACGTTGCATGAGCCCCGATCCCATATGCATATTGGTTCTTGTCTCAGTTGCTCCACTTCCCATCCAGCTCCCAATTTGTGACCTGGGAAAGCAGTAGATAATGGCCCAAAGCCTTGCGAACCTGCACCTACGTCGGAGACCCGTACGAGGCTCCTGGCTCCTAGCTCCTTGCCTCAGATTGGCTCAGTTTTGGCCATTGTGGGCATTTGGGAAGTAAACCAGTGGGTGAAGATCTTTCTGTCCCTCCTCTTTGTAAATCTGACTTTCCAATGAAAATAAATAAATCTTTAAAAATGCTATCCAATATCTGCTATTTGGTAAGAAGTCATAAATAAAGAACAAAAATATATGAATTTGGAGGTATTCTCCTAGCACTAAGGTTGGTTGTTTTATAAGAACTAAGCTTTTTAGAAACCAGGTTTTGAGTTTCTACTGTTAATTTTTAGCACCATAGGAATTTTAGAAAAACAGATTTCTCAAAATGCTTCCCCCATAGTAGTTAGTAGCAACTGTTAGAATTCTGAGGTGATCGATGACTAAGTGATGGATGCCACGGAACATGGAAGGTTCTTAAACACCCAAATGCCTCTTTCTTTCTCCTTTAGCCCTGACGGTCAGCCAACACTGCTCCCACCAGAACACGTGCAGGAGTTAAATCTGAGATCTACTGGCATGCTCAACGCCATCCAAAGGTTTTTTGCGTATCATATGATTGAGACATATGGATGTGACTATTCCACAAGTGGACTGTCTTTTGATACTCTGCATTCCAAACTGAAATCTTTCCTGGAACTACGAACTGTAGATGGACCTAGACATGACACATACGTTTTGTATTACAGTGGGCACACCCATGGATCAGGAGAGTGGGCCCTAGCAGGTAAATCCACCTGTAGCAGGTTCACTGTCATGAAGATATGCGTACAAGTATTTGTGTAACCTGTTCTTCACACAGACATTAGATTTCTCCATTTTTCTCTTCACGGTTTTCCAGGCATACATACAAGTCTGTTTTTCTTTTTCTCTGTCATATCTACTTAGAATAATTTTAATAATCTCTAATGACTTGGTTATGAGAACTATGCCTTGAAATATTTGTAAAAAAGAAATTCTGTTTGAGACTTAAAATTGGTTTCCCTAATACCTTCCACTAATTCTATGCCATATTTGTAACTGGGACTTTATTTTAAGGAACATATTGTTAGAATGTTGAATAACTCACTTTCTAGGGGTAAAGGTGGACATTTTCTCTTGGGCACCTCGAAGCATCAGCTATGTCATGCTAAGTAATGTACATACTATGAAAGAGGTAGACTTACGTCAGCTTTTTCCTTTCCTAGGAAGTCAGAAACTTACTCTGAAATTCATTATTAATTTTCCTTCATGATTTGTTGGAAATAATTTATGAAATCTTAACTCTACAATAAAGCTGCATTTTAGATAAATGTCTAACAGATACATTCTGGAATAACATGTAACATTTTTTGAAGGGTGCTACCATTAAATCGACTTTATGGCATTTCTCTGTTAGGCAGGAGGACCTGTTCCTGTGTTACTGTCTTTGCTGGAGTGTTTATCTTCAGTAAAAAGAGATAGTGGAGGAAGCCTAGCCTGACAGGGCCCTCCCTTATGTCTAAATCAGCAGGTGTGAGGCCTGCCCTGGAGCAGCAGGCCTGCTGCACTTACTGGTGTTGAAGTTGGCCCAGAAGCTCCCTTTTCAGTTCTTACCCTGGCTTCTTTCACACAGAGCCTCAATGGCCCATTTGCCTCAAAAATAACATGAAACGTTCCTACTCCAAGGAAATTCTTCATTTATTCCCAACTAAATGGCAAAGAACTTTAAACCCCAGGAATTTATTAATAGTCCGGCAACCTTCGAAATAAGAAACAGGACTGCCTTTTACTTGGGTTAGCAAGTCATCATCACTCCAGAACTAAATGCCAATCAGGGAAACCAATTATCCTTCATCACATGCCTTTACTCATAGTACTTCTTAGAATATGTAGTCTTCTTACACTTATGGTGTTTTGGAATAAGGAACCTGGTATTTTTGCTTCTTTGCTTGAGGGTAAAAAGCAATTGCAGTAGCTGCAAGAGAAAGAGAAATAAATGAAAAAAAAAATGTAATCTATAATGCAGTTTATCATAGATAAAGCCTTTAAAAAGCAGTCTCGTCTGCTTGAAATGCATCAGAGGGCTTTTTGTCTGAAATGGACTCCGGTGTTTTGCATCTGGGCCAAAGCCAAGAGAAAGACCAAACAAAAGAAAATGAGAAACATTAAAAGGCTTTAATGCTCCTTTTTCTCTCTTGTTGATAGCTTGTCGATTTGTAAAAGAGAATTAGGGTAGAATGTGCTAAACAACATTTATTGAAATTATTGTGAAAAATGTTAGGCAATGATGTTTTGTGGCTAATGGAATTTATATACTGATTCTTATTATTAATATCCTCTAATTGCTTAGAGAAATTTAACTGGGAAAGCTTTAATGAAAAATTAACATCTAGCCACTTTAAAAAAAAAAAAACAGTATCTTCTGAAAGTACCACTGAAGCAACACGCCATGTGGGAAACCACGTATTTGAAACCATGCCTCTGAGATGATGTTCGTGCATGTTAAAGCAGGTCACAAACATATTTCATAGAGTCTAAAATGTAGCATGCTGATGCAAAAAAAAAAAAACAAACCCAAAATTCATTAAAAAATGGGATGTGGTCTGGCTGAAGAGATCATGTTACTATCTGAAGGCTAGTTTTACTTCCGTGGCATTAGCCAAAAACATGGCTTCTTTGCATACAGATATACATTCTGAAGTTTGATTGTTGAACATTTTGCTAGTAAATTGTCGTGTATTAAATCTTTAATTATAAAAACAACATAGCTAAGTGTGAACATTTTAGAAAATATAAAACAACCAGACATCCAAGTGCCCCACTGTAGTTATGTAAACTTTTGTAGATATGCTTCTATATCTCGTTTTTCCTGCCAGTATAAGGACATTTTCTCACCACTAAAATCTTAATTCATTTTCATTCCTTTCAGATTCTGTGCTCCCTAACCTGTCAGTGGGAGGAAGATCATTATATGTCATTTTTTTGCCCCATTTTTTGCTTCCCATATGGTAGATTTCTAGTGTTGGGATCACTGTACCTGTGCAGTATTGAGACTGAGGTTAGGTGAGAGCAGCATAAACTGAGGGGAGCACCAGAGACTCATTGACCAAAGATTTCAGTGTAATATGCTGAATTATCGCAATTGGTGCTCCCCCCAGAAATCCTCAACAAATGTAACACATACTAGCTATGTAAAAATGCCTAGAAAATTATTACCTTAGACCTTCCTTGTGTGTGTATGTGTGCATTTCTTTTGTGCTTCATGTATAAAATTCATTTAACTCTAAGTCTGTTCTTTCATCTTAGTTAGATAGTGTTTCTTTTTCTTTTAATGGGTACCTGTGTGTGAGGGTGGAAAACTGTCATCAGCGAGTGGAACAGAGGTTGACAGATAGTTCTTGCAGAATGCCTCACTTCTGTCGCAAACTGAAAGTAATTATAGAATGTAAATGGATGAATGTGGTTGAGCTGTAATAAAATGTTACTGATGGAAATAATTATATGAAATGTAAAATTTCTGTAATTTTTACTTCACAAACTTGTTTTTTTTTCTTTCAACTATCTAAAATACAAAACCTAACTCTTAGCTTGCAGGGCATTCAGAAGCAAGTAACAGGTGCATTTGGCTCACAAGTCTGTTTGTTACCTCAGATGTAGAATATTAGCTTCCCTATTTTATCTGCAAGTTTAACAATATAATACAATTTTTAACTTATCATAGCCTATCCCTTTTTAATGTAAGTTTGACTTTTTAAACTGAAATTAAAAATCTGTTTAAAAATATCTTCTATCTTTCAAAAATATTTTGAAAGCGGCACATTGACTTTTTTTTGCTTACATATTTAATTCTAAGAATTAAAAAACCACTTGAGCGGCTTCAGAAATTGTACTGTGGAACTTTCTTTTGTTCCAGGTGGAGACATCCTACGGCTCGAGACACTTTTAGAGTGGTGGAGAGAAAAGAATGGTTCCTTCTGTTCTCGGCTGATTATCGTCTTGGACTGTGAGAATTCAGCTCCTTGGGTGAAAGAAGTGAGAAAAATCAATGACCTGTATATTGCTGTGCAAGGAGCAGAGATGACAAAGACCATTGATATTGAAGAAGCTGACCCGCCACAACTGGGTGACTTTACAAAAGACTGGGTGGAATACAACTGCAACTCTGGTCATAACGTCTGCTGGACAGAAAAGGGCCGCACCGTGAGGGCAGTTTATGGTGTGTCCAAACGCTGGAGTGACTACACTCTGCACTTGCCAACAGGAAGTGACGTGGCCAAGCACTGGATGCTTCACTTTCCTCGCATTACATATCCACTTGTGCATCTGGCCAATTGGTTATGTGGTCTGAACCTCTTTTGGATCTGCAAAACTTGTTTTAGGTGCTTGAAAAGATTAAAAATGAGTTGGTTTCTTCCTACTGTGCTGGACACGGGACAAGGCTTCAAACTTGTCAAGTCTTAGTTTGGACCCCAACATGGGACGTTGCTGAATTCATAGTACCAGTATCACTAACTTACCATTTTTTTCTATGCTATTATTTTTATTTGTGGAAAATACCGTCCTATTTCAGTAGCTGCCCTCACTTTATCTTTTCTCAAGTAATTATAGTATATGTAAGGTATTGGGAATAAGCATTATTTTGTACTAAAAGTAGATTGGGAGTCAAATGCTAACTATGTAAATGCATAAGAGATGTTAAAAATAACTGCACTTTCAGGAATGTTTTCATATGCCTCTCATGGAAAGACGCCCGTTTTCTATACACTTCAATGGCCAATGAAAAAGTACTAATGCCTTATTTTCTAGGCATAAAGAATGTAGACCAACAAATTTGCCACTTTAGGAAAAGTATCAGTTTATTTGCAGAAGATTTTCATGAATAATAGGTTTGAATTTTCAAGACCATTGGAAGAACAACAAACTTTCTAGCAAAAGGAGGAAGCCTGCAAGCAAAACAACCGTAGGCTTCCCTTACACTCATCACATTCCAGGGCCTTGGCGTGACCTGGTACCAATGCAGCTGGGAAGCCAAGATTATTTTTCAAGTCAGAGCGGTCTTCATGCAGCTGACTCCTAAGGGGCTAACCCCTGTGGGTTTCTCCCTCACGCCATTGGTGGGGGCCTCTAGGAACGCTGGCAATCCGGGGAGTCTCAGGTAATGATGTTTTACTAAAGAACAATGTTTTCAGCCAGAAATTGCTTTTAAATAGATTCTTTTTTGCAAAAAGTACTGATAAAGGAAACTTAGCAATATCTCAGTAACAGTCCATTTTAATTTTAAATATTCAGAAAAGATTTTGATATCAGAGTTAATGCTCTAATAGGAAAAGTATTTTTCAAGTTCCCTTTTCTTGATTGACATTTTTTCTACTGAAGGCCAAAAGATAGGAAACTGGTCAGTTTCTTTCTAGTGTACGTGTGTTGTATTATGTAAAAAAAAAAAAAAAAAAAGGATTCACGTTGGTAATTTTAGTTCAGCATAATGGTGTTGTAATTTTTTAAACTTAATTCAGTGTTCTGTTTAAGGCAGGTACTGTTCAGGGTATCTCTCAAGTGGTAATTCATTTCATATTCCCTTCCAATAATCCTTACATTCTAAGTTATTATCTTTGAGAATTAACAAGAGGGGAACAATTAAATTGAGAGATAATCTAATCTTTGTTATTAAAATGGTGTAGCTTCTCACCATGGAAGCCATTTTCTATCTTCAAAGAAAGGAAATAATCCCTCCACTATTTTCTACCTGGTGACTTGAAAATTCAACTTTTAGCTGGAAGTCACTTAGGGTCAGGGAACTTCTATACACTATCTGTGCATCATTGTTAGAGTCTGGTATTTCTATGTAATCGAATATGACTTTCCTAATGTTTTGAATAAAATTTTGTTAAAAATTAGTTTTCCATTTAATGTGTAAATTATAGCTTCTGTTAGTTTAGAATATTAAAAGTGCAAGTTGGACCCCAGCATGATAACCTAGTGGCTAAAGTTCTCCCCTTACACGCACCAGGATCCCATATGGGTGCTGGTTCTAATTGGCGCAGCCCCACTTCCCATCTAGCTTCCTGCTTGCGGCCTGGGAAAGCAGTCAAGGATGGTCCAAGGCCTTGGGATCCTGCATCAAAGTGGGAGACTCGGAAGAGGCTCCTACCTCCTGGCTTTGGACCAGCTCAGCTCAGCCATTGTGGTCACTTGGGGAGTAAATCAGTGGATGGAAGATCTTCCTCTCTGTCTCTCCTCTTCTCTGTATATCTGACTTTGTAATAAAACTGAACAAATTTTTTTTAATGCAGAAGTTACAAAAATGCCCATGTTTTAAGAGTTCACATTTGGTGCAGGTTGATTTTAAATTTTAAGTATTTATATTAGCATAGCCTGACTGCAGTAGTATGTTTTCTTACAGGTATATTCAGACATTGCACAGTGGATAAGCCAAATGCTCAAAATATGACTTTATAGCTTCAAAAACCAGTCAAACTCCTGTTAAGTAGAATCTTCAGTTTCTTGGCTAGAGTTGAACAAATTTGCCTTAACTAAAGCAAATGTCTTCACTCTGAGAAAGCCAAATAAAAAATATTACATCTAAATTCTTTATATAACCTAAATCAGCACCAAAAATTACATTCATAACATGTATTTGCAGCCAAAAGACAAGAGTGAAAGTTTTCCAGGTCTTGAAAGAGACTTGGGCATCTAGATATAACAAGCTCAAAGGACCCCAAGCAGACTCAACCAAAAAAAGGTCTCCAATACATACTGCCCCCAAATTATCAAAAATCAAAAATTTTGACTGCTTTCCCGGGCCACAGGCAGGGAGCTGGAAGGGAAGCGGGGCTGCCAGGATAGAACCGGCGCCCATATGGGATCCTGGGCGTGCAAGGTGAGGACCTTAACCACTGCGCCACCGTGCTGGGCCCCAGCTAAAATAGACTAAGTCAATACTATAAAAAGAGATAAAGACATATTTTGAGAAAAGGTTTGGTTCAGTGACAAGACCTAGCGTATAGATTATATAAACCTAACACAGGACCATCCAAATACATACAGCAGAAGCTGTTAGACTTAAAGAGATAAACCCTAACGTATTAATACTGAGTGATTTCAGTACTCCAATCTCACCAACAGACTCACTCAAAAGAGAAAAAAAATATATATTCAACAGAGTTAAAATATATTGCCAAATAAATGGGCTTAACACACATTTGCAGGACATTTTACCACAAAGCTATAGAATATACATTCTTCTCAATGGCACATGGAACTTTACTATAGAATAGACCCTATATTGGGCCGCAAATTTAAAAATATTGAAATTATACCATGTTTCTTCTTGGATCACAAAGGAATAAAACTACAAAAATAATTAATAGAAATCTGTAAATACTTGGAAATTGAACAACATAGTAGTGAGTGGTTCTTTGCAGCACCCATTGGTTGGCTGAGGATGGAGAGCAGAAAAAAAACTGATCAACTATCCCAATGAAGCTTGACAGCAAGTATCGGGTGGAGGAAGACTTGGAGGTAGACTAAGACAGCCAATCAACCCTGGAAGGATTTCCTCATCCTGGAGCAGTGATAACGGCAGCATCTCAGAACTATCGAAAGCACATGAGCAGAACCCTCAGAAAATGCTCCGTAGAGGGGACCCTGGCTGACATCAGTGGCAGGCTGGGTGTAGCTTCTCCTTTTATATCTCCCCCTCCCACATATACAAGAAGAAGAAAAAGAAAATGTGTAAACAATGGTCTCATCCACTATGCCCTGATCCTCGACCCTTTCCACCTTGATCAACTATGTAAACATCATCAAAAGTAAAAGAAAAAAAACCCAGAAAATAAATCAACTAAAAAGAAAATACAGTTCTTGAAATACATGAAAATGAAATCACAATATATCGAAACTTGTGGGATACAGCAAAAGTAGGAGGGAGGTTTATACTTAAAAAGATAAATGTTTCAAATTAAAGAACTAATGAGGCATACTGAAAACTCAGAAAAACAAGGACAAAACCCAAAATCAGCCAGAGGGGAGAAATGTTAAGGATTACAGCAGAAATAAGGGAAATTGAGCATAAAAATAAATACACAGTATCAGCAAAACAGTTTGTTCTTGGAGAAGATGAAGTTGATAACCCTCTACCCAGAAAGCAAGGGGAAAAAAGAGAAAAGCCTTTGATAAATAGAATTGGAGATGGTAAATGAGAAATTACACCCGATGCTCCTAAAATACAAAAGATCAGAAAAACAACTGCTGTGAAAAAACTTACAGTAAAACCTTGCAGACATGAATAAATTCCTGGAGATAATGTAAAAAGATGAGATCAACAAGACATTTGCATTTCCTCCATTTGCATTAGAATGGAGACAGCTGGAGGATAGCATGTTGAATGACATGAATGATACACAGAAATACAGATACTGCACATTCCTCTTTATATTTGGATGCTAATATCTTAATATCTTTTGACTGCACAGGCAGTCAAAGCCAAAATGAACAAATGGGACTACATCAAACTAAAAAGCTTGTGTACAGCAAAGGAAACAATTAACAAAGTGAAGAAGCAACCAACAGAATGGGGGGAAATTTTTGCACAATACACAAGTGATAGGGGACTAATATCCAGGATTTACAAAGAGCTTCAGAAACCCTGGGACAGAAAAAAAAACCAACCAAACAAACAAGAACCCTGTAACAAAATGGGCAAAGGAGATGAACAGACATTTTTTGAAACAAACAGATTCAAATGGCTAACAAACATAGAAAATGCTCAGGCTCCCTAGCCATCAGAGAGATACAAATGAAAGCCACGTTGAGGTACCACCTAACTACAGTGAGACTGCCTACATTCAGAACTCAACTAACAACACCTGCTGGCCTGGATGTGGGGAGAAAGGCACCCTCTTTCACTGCTGGTGGGAGTGTAAGCTAGTACAACCACTGTGAAAAATCAGTATGGAGAGTGCTTGGAGAATTGCAAATCTGCCATATGACCCAGCTATCCCGCTCCTAGGAATAGACCCAATAGAAGTGAAATCTGCATATGAGAAGGAATCTGTAATCCTATATTTGCAGCAGCACAATCTACAATAGCAAAGACATGGAAAAGATCCAGATGTGAGTCCAAAGAAGAGTGGTTAATAAAACTGACACATCTACTCCATGGAATATTATTCAGCTATTAAGAAGAATGAAATTATACTATTTATAACTAGGTGGTCCCAACCTAAAGACCATTACGCTCAGTGAAATGAGTCAATCACAAAATAACAAATACATATGTTCTCTCATATAAGGAAACAATCCAATCCATGCTGGGTTTTTTTTTGTTTGTTTGTTTGTTTGGCTGTATCCCATGTGTTTTGATTTTTTTTTTATTTCAGTTTTGTTTATTCCAAATAATTTTTCTCTTGAATTCATCATTGGCTCATGGATTACACAGTGGCATCATTTTTCCCAAAAGACTTTTGTGTTTCCTTTTTGTCCCTCATGTGTTGGTTACTCAGTGGCGTGTTTTTTCATGGCTTCTTAATTATGGAAATGTATAGTGATGGAGTACTGGGGTCTGTCATATAAGATGTGGGGGTATAATGGAACATGCATCCCTATTTCCAGATAAAAGATGGATTTAATGAAACTGTTGGACACGTGTAGACAATGGGATGCTGGACTGCCTGACATTGTCTGTACCAACAATGTCAGGGTACACTTAAATAAGAGAATGATAGAATTATGATTCCTTATGCAGGACTACACCATTGTAGTAAAATGGGGAGAATTTGTTGAGGGGGTGGGAGTTTGGGGGGGGGAAATCCCAGCCTATATGAAATTGTACTACATAATTCAAAATTTAAAATAAAAATATTTTTTAAAAGAGCATATGTTAAATCACAGTCTATGAATTTTATTTCCCGAGGGGGTGCGGGGGGGAAGGTTACAGTTTGAATTGTCATTTTGGAAGCAAAAACTTTCATTGCTTTCAGACCAAAAGAGGAAAAAGCAGAATTTAAAAGAATAACCTCATAAGAAGCCAAAAAAGGCCCTTGAAAATTAAAGATAAAAGGCATAGTGAGGAGGGAGAATTAATTCTACTTTCACCATTTCAGAACTTTCACAGGCAGTATAAGGCAGCAAGATAGACAAGAGTTGAACCAATTTATGAATCAAATTGTTCTGTGCAAAGAGTTCCTCTTGGAGAAATTTACATAAATGAAAGTTTACTAATTGCTATTTCTTGGACACTTCATTGAGGTGCCAAGAGCACCAGAAAGGCACCTTGGTCTCAGTGATGAATCTTCAAGGTAGGTTTGTGTCGCCATCTTTGAGGTGAGCATCACCCAATGCCATTTAGATAATGTTACCAACAGGATTTGGATCAAGTCTTAACTCATCCCATCTCCAACACACTCCCCACCATGAAAACTATGCACTTAACAACATGTAGTTTAGTCATAGTGTTCAAATATATCCCAAGTTCTTAATTATCTAGAAGAAACAGATGGGCAAACATTTTCCAACAAAATTACATTCTTCATTAAAAAAAATAGTAAGGTTCCTGAGATTTTTCAAGTTACAAAATAGATCTCCAAAACAGATGCACTAAACTTAGCCTGCAATTCTGAATGCACTCAAATGTTTTATGGAGGTACCAAGCATCCAATTTTCCCTATTGTCACCCACCCTGCATATGTACTTCAAGCTTAATTTTAATTCTGCTAAAAACTTGAATTCATTTCTGGGCAAAAGTAGAGTTTTCCTTTCTGAAGTGATTTATAATACAAGACAATATAATTATGTTAGAAGACATTTCAATTTGAAAATTCATTTCCAACCAAGATTTGTGCAAAATAAAATCTAATTTATGCTAAAGAATAGTGAACCTGCTAATCAGTTCTGTTTT